TCTCTCTCTCTCTCTCTGTGTGTGTGTGTGTGTGTGTGTGTGTGTGTGTGTGTGTGTGTGTGTGTGTGTGTGTGTGTGTGTGTGTGTGTGTGCGCGCGCGCGCGCGCGCGCGTGATATATGTGTCCAAGGAATCATATCTAACATTATAAGTACCTCCATATAGTATTATGCTCATTTAATACATGAGCGATTGCAAAGGCATACATAATTCCACAGTTGATTAAAAGATGAAAATACATAAGAAGTCGTTCGCGCAAATTCTGATCTGCAATTTCCGCGATATAAATCGGTGTCAGAATACAGAATGCTCCACCGCTCATGCCACATACAAATCGACCAATTATAAGGAGTGAAATCTATGCAAATTTAGTTAGACATCATTCTCATTGGTTAATCTTTTTAAATTCTGATTAAATTCTAATAAGATTATGTTGTTAAAAAAATCTTCTAATGTTTAAGTTAATTTGATTTTGACATCTTTTTCTAATGTTAAAGTGTGATTTAACAATGAGACAAGATAATCGAACATTTAGGTTGCTTTAGTAGTAAATAATAATTTAGTAGTAAATAATAATTTTCATTCATCTTAATTTTATCCTATTAAATGCAAATAACATTTTGGCAAAACTACAAATTTTTTACCATTACCGCATACTTTTTGATCGGCGCAACAAATTAATGTCCATCCGGCTATAAATCCTGGCATAGTTAAGAACATAGCTGTAATATGGCTAAAGTACTTCATTAAAAATGGCATAAACATTATGCCAACACAGGCACCGGCATTCAAAATACCACCGACAAGACTAATTTCAGTACTGCTAACATTCAAAATGTTTCGAAGAATTTCTCCAGCATTAGAATTCCACCCAAGCGTGACACCGAAAGCGAAACCACCAAGAGAGGCTAAATTTCCAAACAAAAGTATTATTTTATTATGCATACTTTAGAAATTAAATTGAAAAATTTTTATTTATTTTTATACACATGTGAATATTTTTATATTTTATCATCTTTTCGCAATATATAGTCTAATCACATAAACAATATCTTTTCAACAATATATTTTTTGTTGTAAGCAAGCACATGAATTCATAAGCGTATTACTATGTACACTGTGTGAAAATAATTAGAAACTTTTGAAAACTTTACATAAATCATGACTGTACATAATATATAATCCTAGTAAAAAATGTTTTTAATATTTGTAAATTTAACAAAAAATGCTATGTAAATAATACTTTTTGGATATTTAAGATGATCGTGTTTGCATATTTCTCTTGCTTTATAAGTGATAAATACTGAAAATTACCTTTTGAATATAATAAAGCCGTAAAAAGATATTGTTTAAATTCATAATTTAAATTTTGTAATAAAATATTAGAAAGAAGTAATCAATTTTTGAGAGGCATCACACATACCTACACGCACGCACCGCACGTATATAACATATGTAATCTAATATACAATTTTATTTCAATAATTATTTTAAAGATGACGTTTGCGATGCACATAATTAATTAAAGTAAAATTATAGCATTAAAATAATAGCTAAACAACATTTTTCAAACTTACTTACAAAGGCAGCAATATGTTGATTCAGTCGATAGATTTTACTACCATCATTGACTTCGGAAGCTAATGTCGATGTCATTTTCATAACAGACGTGATAAGTGACGTTGTCTGAGCGCTATTACTGTTCTCCAACTGTCAATCTCCAACTCTCCAACATTCACCGATTCAAATCAATTCAAGAGAATTCAGCCGCATGACTGACCACGCAGAACGCAGGCGACCTTCTGTTTGATGTTCGATATGAATATATCGGTTTTGTGTACAATATATGACTGGATGTTTTACAAAATTGAATTGCTTACCAAATGAATTGTTTACCAAATGTCTTAATTCGTGATTTATTGCAAAGATATCACTGCATTCCTTTTGATATAGTTTATTTAATACGATTTCTTTATTCTTTAAAATGATAACACACATACACGCACACACAAAATCTTAAATAATTCAGTATACATAGTGTTATATAAATAAATAGATAAATAGTGTTATGTAAATATAACTCACACCGTTACACAATATTACATATAGTTACACACGCACGTGAGATAATGATATAAAATTTTTATATTATTTACACAATAATGTAAAATGTTTGTTAAATACATATATGAAATTAACACATTGAATTTTTTACATACCAATTCTTAAAAAATTATAAATACATTTATCTATAATTTATATTGTACGCAGTGAAATAAATTTTATTGAGTAATATACAATTATAATTGATGATTATTTTATACATAAATCCTAATATATAAAAGTTATTGATTTAATTTTTATACGCAGAAGTAATTTTTATACGCAGAAAATAATTGTATATATCATTATGCTATATTATTCTAACTTTCCATAAAAGAGTAAATTATTTTAAGATAATTATTATATAAGTAAATTATTATTAGTGATATCTTTTAATAATTGAATTAGAAAATACATAATATTGTGAAAGTAAAAGTCTTTCTGTTATATGGATATTATTTACCGTGTATTATATTAGGTGTACAAAAAAGTTCTGAACTTTTTTTTGTAAAATTCAATCTTTATTCAAAAACAAACAAAAAATATTAATCAGCGAAATATTCCTCGTTTGCATCAACGATCTTTTGCCATTTTTCGGGTAACTTGACGAATTCCTTGACGATAGAAGCTCACCGGCTTCGAATCGGGTAGCTTGACGAATTCCTTGACGATAGAAGTTCATCGGCTTCGAAGCGATGAAGTCATCAATGCATTTTCGTATCTCTTCAAATCTCACGAAATGTGTATCAGTCAAATGATGCTGCAGCGACCGGAATAGGTAGTAAACGGAAGGCGCCATGTCTAGACTATACGCCGCGTGCGGGAGAAGTTCCCAGTCTAACGCAAAGATATGGTCCTGAGTCGCTTTCGCAACATGTGGTCGAGCATTGTCATGAAGCAAGATCACTTTACGTCCTTGGCCAGTAAATGGCCTCTTTTCTTCTAATGCATCGCTCAAATTGGTCAATTGTTGTTGGTAGCGGTCTGCCGTGATTGTTTCACTCGGTTGTAACAATTCGTAATACAACACATCTTTCCAATCTCACCAGATACAGAGCCTTCTTGGCGTGGATATTGGGCTTTGGCGTCGATGTCGAAGGTTGACCAGGGTCAACCCATGATTTTCTACGTTTAGGGTTATCATAAAGAATCCACTTTTTATCGCCTGTAATGATTTTCTGCAGAAAATCATTTTTCCGGAACTTTGAAAGCAAAGTGAGTGCAGTGTCACGTCAATGATTTTTGTTGTCTTCGGACAATTCATGCGGAACTCATCTGCCTTCCTTCTAAACCTTTCCCATCGTATGTAAACGTACGGAAATGGTTTGCTGCGTAACACCAAGCTATTCTGCAAGCTCCTTTTCAGTTTGCGCAGAGTTTATATCCAGCAGTGCTTGCAATTTGTCCGTTTCAATCTTTTGAGGGCATTGAGCAGCACGCGGTTTCATCTTTAAGACTGAAATCTCCTTGGCGAAATTTTTGATACCATTTTTTACATGTAGTATGACTTACAGCGTTCTCTCCATATGCAGCACAAATCATTGCAGTGGCTTCAGCAGCATTTTTCTTCAGATGAAACGCGAAGTGGATGGAAAATCGAATATGCTCTTTTGTTATTTCCATCGTGAATACTACTGATTTTTGAGGTTATGTGCATCAAACGCCAAACCGTATGGCATTTTAGAAGGCCAAATGTCAACGCTTTAAAACCGCAAAAGGGCGGGAAGATATATAAAATTTAAATTGTTATTTCGGTTGTATGAAGTGTAAAGCTCAGAACTTTTTTGTACACCTAATGTAATAATACTAAGTTTTTTCTTCTGAACTCATTCATATTTCTTCAGCAGGAAGCATAATGGTCGATAACGCGATTTTCTTGAAAAGACTATTAATTTTACAATTCAAAATATTCCTTCATTTTTC